AATAAAAATCTGGCTAAGTTATACCATACTCATTATGACTTATCTCACTGGTACAAACACAATGCAACCTCCTACCTACCCCCATACCATTTAGTCTTTTATAGAAATGTGGATAGCCACTATCATTCTTACAGAGTGCCCAGGCCTAACCCTTGTACGGGCAACCATGAGCCTTTTCAGCCCCAGGGGAAAGGTGAAGTACACATATTGCAATTTTGTCTTGGGTGCTAAAAGACTATGTTTGATGAGTTCTCCTTAAACAGGCTGGTCTAATTAGTTAGTGAATGCGAATAAGTGACGTTAAAGATACATAGTTCATATTTGTATGTACACATAATTAAAGTGTAACTTTTTTTTTTAAATAACAATAATATAATATGTACCTGAATTACCTCTAATATACTTAAATCTCACAAACCATTTCTTACAATAACTGTTGCTGGAAATAGTAAAATTGTGCATTGTTATTTGCACTTCTGATTACTTTCATACGTAAGACAAAGTTTAGTGATCTGTTATTTATTTGTGTAACTGCACAGTAGTGGACACTATATAAAATCAATAAAAAAAAACAGTAGAACCAGCATGGCAGGGATTTCAAGTTGAAGCAGATCTGTCTGATGTTAGGCAAGATCACAGGGTTCAATGCAGAAATTGCTTTTACATTTACAGTCATAATTCTGCTGCTAAGTAATCAGCTGTGGAAAATCATAAGCATTGATGTCTAATAATTAACTCTCCAACACGTTTTCCAACAGGTACATAAAGGCTGAATTTTTTTCCTGTAAACTACTGCGTGCTTGGGTTCTGCTGAAGATCACTCAAAATACTATAGCTCTAATTTTTTTTTTTATTGGTTTGTAACTTTAATACTGTCACTGACAGGCTCAGCAGAAATGTGTCACTTTGACTAATTAATGAATTGCTGTATGTCCAGGTTTTCTTTTGTAGTTTTCTAATTATTTTAAAGTGACTCTTAAACCTTTTATTTCTTCTTACGTTGATTCATCACTTGAAGTTAACATGAGTTGTCAAGATGGATTAAAATTAACATTGTATATTAAGCCACAGTATATTATCAATCATTCTAACGGATTAGGCAAGTGTATTTACAACCCGTTTCATTTCATTCTTAGTTATTAAAAAAATATGTTCTGAGTTTAAATGACTTTAAAAAATAATTGCTATATTTTCTAAAATCCATGTGAAGTTTACCTCTGATATTTTAATATAAGGCGTAAAATGTGCTATAACAGTAGACAATAGCAAAGTATTCCTCTGCTTGTATCTCAGTTACTGCTGTTGTCATGCTTTCGGGGAGACCCGCAGGTTAATCTATTCCGATTTGCGTATTAATGCAGGAAGAGGGCTGTTCAGCACAGCCAAACTTCAAAGACTTTGCCATGTCACAGCGTTTGTGCGCATGTAAATCTGTGTTACAAAAGAAGAATGCCTTAATTTCATGGTCCCCTGTCCTTTCTTATTTAGTTATTGTAGTGCACGTGCCGAGTGGACTCCCAGTAACAGAAGGCCACTGCTCGGCCTTGTGTGACAAATGCAGTTGACACAAGATCCATATTAATGTTGTCAAGGATCTTTGATGTATCTAAGCAGATTTTAATTATTTTCAACATCCCAATCCCTATGTTACGCAGTGTAATAGTTCTTTTTTTTTCCAATCAACATTTTTAACTCATTCCAGGACAAGTTTCAATGTGACAGTACAGTAATAAAGACTGAATTTAATTTTATTAAAAAAAACTCATAGTAAAAATAAAATAACTTTGATATTGGCTTCCATGTTCAACAAAAGGGCATTCATCAAGTCACCAATTTGTGTGGCAAAGTGCCATTTGAATAGTGTATTGTTAGAATACTTATGGTCCGTTTGACAAGGACTCTTGCTGTAAATAGTGCAATTTGACTCCAGCTGTTAAAGAGTGTCTCTGACAGAAGCCAAATAGAATGGAGATGCTTTACTGCACCGCAGAAAAATCAATATTGGGTTCTTGTTCACAGTAACCTGCTCTTTTCTGTAGATTTATACAATCATATATGGGCCTTACGGAAGAGAATAGAAAAAGGACCAAACTATAAAAAAAGCATTGCAATTTCTTTGCATATTGTTGACAAAAAAAGGAGGAACATAGGAAATAATTATGACTACAATCTTTTTTTTTTTTTTTCAACACAGACTTTAAAACTGATATATGTAGCTTTATTAACTGGTGAGAGGAGGAGCAGGTTTGCTTTATGGCGCTTGCAGCACTGTGCAATGGGATTTTCTGTTTTATAACAATACTTGTAATTATTATAAAACAAGATGTAAAAATAGATAACATAACTAAAAAAAAAAACAAATTTTATAATTTTTTTAAATTATAACAGTTTAAAAAAAACAATTAAGTATGAAGAAATAGAAATTAACCTGCCTTTATGACTTTATTTGAGGTTTTTGAGGCAAGGTAAAAGCAAAAGATCTACTTTTTTATCTGCAAGGTATATTGCAATTTATAATAACAGTTGATATTAGGGTATTATTCAGAAACATTATTTTTTGTTTTCAAAATATATAATATATAATTTATAATATATAATAATATTTCTTTTAATATGTATAACCTGGAACAGTAATGGTTAGGGGCAATGCAGTAAATTAATTATTACATGATTTATTTTTATATGTATTCTTCATATGTTTTAAACAAGTTATTTGCAAAAGGTGTCAGTTCTTTTATTTAGAACGTATACAGTACCCACTGATCAATGAAAGCATGTGCTAACCACTATTTGTTATTTTTTATTTTTTTGCTTCTAGCAACAATCAAAATTCTCTTTTTCATTTTTTTTTTTACATAGACTGCTGATATGGCAACAGGAAGCTGCTTGGTTGCTATTGGCAATAAGGATTTTTTTCTTTTGTGCTTTTCATTCATCAGTCATTTGTACATTGGAAGAGAAAAAGTGTTTGTTTCAATCCAATTAACAAGCATTATTATAATAACTGTTGTGACTATATTGCTTTTTAAAGGGATTTCTTTTCCCATCAGATCTGGATTTTTCACAACTAATCAAAGTATTTTTCCTTTTTTGAGTTCTTTATTATCTTTATGTAAAGCTCTAATAATGGACTGGAATTAACCAGCCGCTTCCTTGGCAAGCTACAAAAAGCAAAAGCTTAATAGCCAATCAATTGTGTTTTTGTTAAAGTAAATGTTTAAACTAGTGTCTCATCTTTTTTATATATACAATATATATATATATATATATATATATATATATATAAAATGGAGCTTGGAATTCTGGTTAAAAATGTTTTTTTTTTCTTTTTTTTTTTTTAAGTTTTGGATAGAGTGTGGAATAGCTAGAATGTAAGAGATTTCTCCTGCTTTCTGTGGCCCTATTGGGAAGATTTCCCCTTACTTCTGTACAGGTGACCACATTGATTTGGGTGTAAAATCTCTTTGCTCTTAAAAAAATTAGGCTGTGGTTAAACTTTACTTTTACTGATCTATAATCAATATGTAAAATGGCTATAATAAACAAAATAACTAATAAACAAAAAACAAAATTAAAAATGTTCTGTCCAAATTTGCTCAGGTGGGTTGGGACCAGGGGCAGACTGACAACTCATGGGGCCCCCGAGCAATAGGGGATCATAGGGCCCCTGTGTCCTTGCCCAAACTCAAAAAAGCCTATGAAAAAGGTACCAGGGGCATCTCATGGGGCTCCCTACTGACCCCGGCCCTCGGGCAATGCCCAAGTTTCTAAATGGTCAGTCCGCCCCTGGTTAGGACACAAGTCTGAACCCACTTCAGCTATTCTGCCAGGAAGCTGTTAAAGTTGTCAGGCAATCATAGGCAACAGAGGCATTCCCTGCCCTACCACCTCACATATACAAGGGGCAGGTATAAAGTGTGGTTGCAGGATGGAAAATGCTTCCACCACCTATGATTGGCTGTCAACATTGACAGTTTCCTGGCCAGATAGCTCAGTTGAGTTTGGAATGGGGTTCAAACATGCCTGAGCTCATCACTGGTGGTAAAATATTGTTTTAAATCATACTTAGAGGTCATATCATTGCACCCTTTAGTGCTGTTCCTCAAGCTCATAAACACCTCCAACCAGGGGTGGACTGACCATTTGGACATTCAGGCACTGCCCGAGGGCCCGGGGTCATTAGGGGGCCCCATGAGATGCCCCTGGTACCTTTTTCATAGGCTTTTTTGAGTTTGGGCATGGACACAGGGGCCCCATGATAACCTATTGCCTGGGGGCCCCATGAGTTGTCAGTCCGCCTCTGCCTCCAACCCTATCATAATATACAGTATGCACTGATTCAATGATTGATTTACTAAAGAGGTAAAGTCCCAGTAGCAGCGCATGCCTTCTCTTATCTTCCCTACTTCTCCATTTAGTTGCAGGGAGTGATGATATATATATAATATTTATGGTTGTGATAGAGGATGTGACTCAGTCTCCTTCTTCCCATGTGACATTGCTGGTGCATAGCTATTGACTGTCAGATAAGTGTATGGCTGGAAGCTCACACAGAACTAAGGCAAGCCATACATTATACAATCTTTTTTTGCTTCAACCATGGGTTGAAGGAAAGAAAATTGCTGGATTCTGACTGACTGTGTTGATGGGGCAGCTATTGTATTCTGCCAGCGGAGAGCCTTGCCCACTGGCAGAATACAATAATCACTGCTGGTGGTTATAGACACCCGCAGTGATCACACCAAAAAAAAAATTCGGACAGGCTTGTTGTTCAACTTCAGTAAAATCAGCCTGCCCATAGATGGATCAAAATTCAGCTGGTTCCTTCTGAATCAGCTAAATTTTGATCCATTTGTTGCTGCCTTAACTCTCTTTGCTCTGTTTAACTGTTGCCCAGCATGACCAATCCACAAATTCACTTTAAGGTTTTTAGGATGTCAGTGTGAAACTGATATTCCATATAAAGTTCTTGTACCTCAATATCATTGCTTAAAGAGTATCTAAACCCATATCAGTAACATCAGTCTGTATATGAAGTAAAGCATGCTTGTTATATTCACTGAGGAAGCTAAAGTGCTAATCCTCTGCATTGTGTAAAAAAAGCATTTTGATCCTGACTTCTCTGATCCTCCCCTTCCTTTGCTGTCCCTAAATCCATCTGACATAGTTAGAGCAGTAGTGGCAAATCTGCACATGCTCTATTTGGTGTGTATTGCTCGAGAGTTTTTTGGAGGGATGGTGCATGTAATTGGCACAGGGCCATGCAGCACTGTCCAGGCAGAGTGTCAGAGGTCATGCAGTCTCATAGGACAGTCAGAGGAGAATGACAGATCCTCCTATAAGATTAACCAGTGCTCGGCTGCACACTTATAAAAGTCATAAGACTGTTATATACGGATGATGAGAAAAGGTATTTAGCAGTTTATATTTACTAAAATAAAAGCATTTCCATGTTCTGTGTACTGTGATATATACCAGATATAGTGAATGCAGGGTCATGGGTTTAGTAACACTTTAAGTGTCGTTAACCGGTATTTTCCCTGGTAGATAATTCACTTTGAGAATATGTGTCCAGAACAGAAATATTTGGAGCTGCTGCCTATCCTTGAAAGGCCAAGGTTTTAGCCTATATGTTTTTTCTTTCATTATTAGAATGTTAATGAGAAAGTAATTTTGTTAATATTTTTACATACTTAGTTTTGTTGCTTTAAATGTCTACCATATATAGATCTGGAAATGCTCTCTCCAGCATCTATCTGTATACTAGGCTATAGGAATATCATTCATTGTTAGATGACTTTTCAGAGGACTCAGCTACCCTTAGTGCCAGGTCACTCTGGTGCAATTTCAGGTGCGATTTGCGAATTGAAATCGCACCTGAAATCGCATCGCATGAATGTGAATGTCAGTGTCTTAACATGTGTGATTTGCTGCAGCACGATTTCTAAAGTAGTTCTTGCATTACTTTTTTTTGTTGCGATTTCACATACATAGAATATAATGGAAATACACTACAAATTGCAAGAAATTGTTGAAAATCTTAACGAGTAGCAATAAAGTCTTCAGAAATCGCACCTGAAATTGCGCTGAAATTGCACACAAATTGCAGTGGTGTAACCGGAGACTAAAAGTATATTTCCACTTTTGCAGTCAAATTTCAGAAAACCCCACTATATGTTTGTTATATATTCCCATTCACACAGCATACAACAAAAAAAGAAAAAAAGATCTCGTACCTTTTAGATATTTTTCAGGAGAAGGCCTCCTGGTTAACTTCAAGGATTCTTGAACAATGTCACAGTGAATCTGTCCTAAGGACAAGTTGAGTCTAGTGCAGCAATGGGCAAACTACGGCCCGCGGGCCGTATACGGCCCGGCGGACCTTTTAATCCGGCCCGCGGAGCTAGGCTCCCGCAAGGCCAGTGGTCGGCAAGCCGCGGCTCTTTACAATAGATGCGGCTCTCCTGTGTGCCGGGCGCCCGCTCCCCTCCCTCCTCTCGGGCGGGCGGGCGACCTCCTCTCCTCCTCCTCTCCCCTCCCCTCCTCTCGGATGGCCGCCCCCCCTCTAGGATGGCCGCCCCCTCCCTCCTCTCGGGCGTCAGGACTCTGCAGCTGTCAGGATGTAGGCGGGGCAGCCAGGATGTAGGCGGGGCAGCGTGACGAACTCTTCTCTCACAGTCCTCCCTGAAGACCAGAACGGCGCGGGAATACGAGAGGAACGCGCGGAGGAGCAAAGGTAAGTGAATTGACACAGGGGGGACTTACTATATGGGGGACTTACTATAGGGGAATGAATTACTATATGGGGGACTTACTATATGGGGAATGAATTACTATATGGGGGACTTACTATATGGGGAATGAATTACTATATGGAGGACTTACTATATGGGGAATGAATTACTATAGGGGGGACTTACTATATGGGGAATGAATTACTATATGGGGGACTTACTATATGGGGGATGAATTACTATATGGGGGTCTTACTATATGGGGAATGAATTACTATATGGGGGTCTTACTATATGGGGAATGAATTACTATATGGGGGACTTACTATATGGGGAATGAATTACTATATGGAGGACTTACTATATGGGGGACTTACTATATGGGGAATGAATTACTATATGGGGGACTTACTATATGGGGGATGAATTACTATATGGGGGTCTTACTATATGGGGAATGAATTACTATATGGGGGACTTACTATATGGGAATGAATTACTATATGGAGGACTTACTATATGGGGGACTTACTATATGGGGAATGAATTTACTATATGGGGGACTTACTATATGGGGAATGAATTACTATATGGGGAGGACTTACTATATGGGGGACTTACTATATGGGGAATGAATTACTATATGGGGGACTTACTATATGGGGAATGAATTACTATATGGGGGACTTACTTTATGGGGAATGAATTTACTATATGGGGGACTTACTTTATGGGGAATGAATTACTATATGGGGGACTTACTATATGGGGAATGAATTACTATATGGGGGACTTACTATATGGGGAAAAATTACTATATGGGGGACTTACTATATGGGGAATGAATTACTATATGGGGGACTTACTATATGGGGGACTACTATATGGGGGATGAATTACTATATGGGGGATGAATTAATATGGGGGATGAATTACTATGTGGGGGATGAATTACTATGTGGGGGATGAATTACTATGGGGATGAATTACTATATGGGGGATGAATTACTATGTGGGGGATGAATTACTATGGTGGATGAATTACTATATGGGGGATGAATTACTATATGGGGGATGAATTGCTATATGGGGGGACGAATTGCTATATGGGGGACGAATTGCTATATATGGGGGATGAATTACTATATGGGGGATGAATTACTATGGGGGATGAATTACTATATGGGGGATTAATTACTATGCTTACTATGGGGGAATATTACTATACTTACTATGGATGACACATACACATCATTCATCTACTCTTGGTCCGGCCCCCGGGTCCAATATATGAACCCATTGCGGCCCTCAAGTCAAAAAGTTTGCCCACCCCTGGTCTAGTGTCATTCACATACAATGAAAGAAGCCTAACTACTAAACCTTTAACCTTTATTAGGACAGACAGTGTTCCAATCTAATTTACAAATGACAATTAAGATCTATCTGCACAGTACAGACAGGGCAGGAGCGGACTGACCATTTGAAAACTCGGGCGCTGCCCGAGGGCCCGGGGTCAGTAGGGGGCCCCATGAGATGCCTCTGGTACCATTTTCATAGGCTTTTTTGAGTTTGGGCAAGGACACAGGGGCCCCATGATCCCCTATTGCCCTTGGGCCCCATGAGTTGTCAGTCCGCCCCTGAGACAGGGTTTTTTTATAAGAAACACAGCTGCCCATCCCCTCATAAACAAAGAGAACTAGTAGTATTTTACAATGTTGGAGATTTTCCATAAGAACATTCTGCCTGAACTTTCTGAGGGAGAAACTTCATCAGCATAAATGGATTTTGGCAACCAATCGCTACAATTTTCCCCCCGTGAGAGAGAGGCTGGCATAAATGGACATCATCTTTGCATAGTCCCATAAATATGCAATGAGAGAGAGGAGCAGTAAAGCATAGTCACTATGAATCGAGCCTTTTTTAGGCTTTTTTAGGCTTTTTTTCCCTTTATTTTCACTTGGTGATCCTGCCAGTAAGTATGATGTTTTTCAACAGAACAAGTTGTCTTGCATATGTAGCAGTTATGGTTGAGACAAACCATATAACAGTAATAGGGGTGCTTACAATGATCAGCATTTATTTATGTAAAACCTTTATCCCAAAATGAAGAAAAAACTGTTGCTGTAACTGCTTAAAAAGTTTTGGCTGGAGTTTGGCTTCAATTTGTTAGTGTATGTATATCTGCTACTATATCTAATACTACCCATTCCACAGGCTGACAATGCTGCTGTCCAAAGGTGGCTCTGTTGCTCCTTCATCCAGAGTGTAGGCACTCTAATACAGAAGGTGGCATGATCACCAGATGAAAACAAAGAGGAAAAAGCCTACAAAAGAAAGCTAATGCAGATACCACATAAAATGAGTATATTACATTTTTGGTTTTGGGTTTTATTCCTGCTTTAACACCTTCTGAATTTTAGCTGAGGTTGTATTGTCATATGGTCATGGAAATATGTCAAATATGGCCAGTAAGGCCTGTTTGTACATGGCTTCAGTTCGCATAAGAGCAGAGTGAACATCAAGCTTTTGTAAAACTTTCTGCAAACTTTCTGCAAACTTTTGCAAAGCTTTTGGCAAGTTTAAAGCAGCTTCTCTAATCCTTTAAAGCACCCTTCATCTCTTGTTTAGAAATGTTATACACAGATCTTAATGGGAGTGTTGATTGTCACTAGAGATGAGCGAATCGAACATGACGAAGTGGAATTCGTTCCGAAGATTTGGAAAAATTCTATTCGCGACGAATCCGAAGATTAGCAAACTTCGGATGCGCGAATCGAATTTTCCCAAAAATGGCGGCGACATGTGTGGCGACGGAGAAAATGGACAGAGAAGATGGGGCGGGGATCTCTGGGAAGGCGCGCAGACAAGGCGCGCTGACCCATAATGCATTCATGACATGTGATCGCATTAGCCAATCAGCAGCCAGCCAGCACTGTGTAATGGTGGAGCTATAAATCGCAGCCATCTTAGAATTCTCCATTAGCCTCCGGTCATTCAAGAGAGACAGACCTGTGTGTATTAAGGGACAGAGTTAGGGCCACAGAGACTTTAGGGCCACAGAATCGTTACTCAGGGACCTTCAATTGAAGCTGCTTCCGCTCCGCCACTCTGCCATTGGACTCTTGATAGTCGTCTCCCCATGCTGCTGCTGGGGGGACTTTTTAACATAGGCCTCTGTATGGCCTTTAATTGAAGCTGCTTACGCTCCGCCACTCTGCCATGGGCCTCTTGGGTATCCCAGAAGCTGCTCAGCGGGTCAGGGCAATAAAGCTCCCGGTTCGCAGGTTGTTCCGTCTTATGGATGGAAGTACGACGGTATATGATCTTCTTCGCACCCACGGCATCACACCTCATAGAATCTCTGCATTGCATCTGCAATCACAACGCTGACTTCCCGGATCGCCACTCAGCCATTGGACTCTTGATAGTCGTCACCCCAAACTGCTGCTGGGGGGACTTTTTAACCTAGGCCTGTGTATGGCCTTCAATTGAAGCTGCTTCCGCTCCGCCACTCTGCCATTGGACTCTTGATAGTCGTCTCCCCACGCTGCTGCTGGGGGGACTTTTTAACATAGGCCTCTGTATGGCCTTTAATTGAAGCTGCTTACGCTCCGCCACTCTGCCATGGGCCTCTTGGGTATCCCAGAAGCTGCTCAGCGGGTCAGGGCAATAAAGCTCCCGGTTCGCAGGTTGTTCCGTCTTATGGATGGAAGTACGACGGTATATGATCCTCTTCGCACCCACGGCATTACTTC